ATTCCTCCTTTCAACTGTACGTCATTGATACAGAGCTACTCTTAGAGAGGTTAAGGAAGTAAGTGTGTGATTGGAACTATTATGTTCTCACTTTATCTTTCTAGTAAGGCGAAAAACACTTATCGTATATATGATTTACACTCATGGATTGGATTATAGAAGATTTTTTGAAATGCTAAATCTGTTCCCCCTTTCCCGTCGTAGTTTGTATTGTTTTGCCTTATGGTTGGTAGCTGCATAAATGGAATGTTATGGTTCTGTCCAAGTCCAACAGACATCACTTGTTCTACAGTTGGAGAATTACTGTAAAGAAAGTCAGAAACAAACTCAAAACAAATATATTGTTTATTGAAGTAAATTTATTCTAAAGATGTTTAGCTGTACTTCAGTTAATTAATAGAATTACATAGCAGGTCAAAAACACCTGAGAATTCAGTCCAGTTGCTTTGTATTGATGTTAATTTTTCACAGGAACATTGACATGCCTTTCTTCATTTAATTCAATTAACGTATACTTCTGTTCCTTTCTAACAACTTTCCCTGACCACCTTCAATGTATCAATTATATTTACCTTGATCGTGACATGTGATAACAAGTATCAAATTCTTGTCAATAACTGGGTTAAAAAATACTATTTCCTTACTAAATTTAGTAGTAAATATGTTTTTCTTACAGGTATGATCAGTTATTGATATTCACTACTCCGTGAATCCCTTTCACATTGTTAATGAACTCTGATTAGGTGACCTTTCAATCTTTTTTTTCTAATTTGGCATATTTTTCAAGTTGGTTGTATATTTAAGACTCATTCCTGGATTTTAGCACAAAACCTAGGCTGTCACACCATTGCAGAACTGATGGAGTGGTAGTTACTTTGTTGTAGATACTTTGTGAAACTCTCAGAATAAAATAAAACATCTAAATGGAAAAATCCCTGAAATATGGTCTCTCATTATAGGTTGTCAATGCTAGGCAGTAGCAATGGCACTTGGGTAGGCTGAGATTGTAGACATGCTCACCGCCATATCCAACCTCATCCACAACCCGAGCTACAAATCTTCTCAAAAACTTTAAACTTAGGTGGTCTGGTGTGTTTAAAGAGCAGATATGGTCAATGCAGTTCATTTTTTTTGTATTTGCTTACGATAAGAAATTATCAGTATACAACAAAAAAAATTCCATGCCACATTCATTCCTTGACAAGTTTTGAACTTGGACACCGAATTGTTGCATCATTTGTTAGTGACACCCTCATCTTGATTATTAAATTAATTCTGCAGGCCTCTTATGTTTTGTTGTATTATAAATGCAGATACAGTTATTATGGAAATGAGAATGTCCCTTCTCTCTCCCTTCACAGAAATAATGAACTATCAGACTAAATCAGGGCTAGAAAAGAATAGCTTTGCTTTGGGTAGTTGAAGTCAGGGCTGGGTTTCATTTGGAATTGTAATGAATTTGCAGTAGAAATTGGACAAATTTTGAAATAACACTCACCTTCTACCTCAGGCGGGTTAGTTTGAGGCTTCAAAGTCAAAGGTTCAAAGGGGTTACCCTCCTGTGGAGTGAGCTGGAAATCAAATTCAGTTCCTGTGTCAGATTAGTAACTCAGTACTTTGGTGTGTGATTTGATTTGGTTATCCTTCAATAGTAAAGCTGGGGAATCGCATTCACTTTCTAGTTTTACAACCAGACCTGAATGTAGTTTTAATAAGTTTGATGGGACTTTGGCCTTTCAAGTAACATTGGAAGATCAGGAATGTCGCACCTCTAAACCAAATAACAGGCATTATGTATAAATCATATTTTCATAGACAAGTAAATAGAGTTAATATGGAATTCCTGGTCATTCAAGAAGGTGAGGGCAAATTTGTCCTATAATGATAGATTGCTGTTCTTGGTTGTGTTGTAATGTCTGTCAATGTAAAAAAATTATTTATGTGTAGAGTCCTGAGAACAGTATGGACAAACAGATCGCTTATAAATGGAAAACAATTGCGGGGATTGTTTAAAAAGCAGGTGGAAACAGTTGTGGGAGGAATGTTTTATTATTCTATCGGGATTGATGTGCTAGAATAGGACAAGTATACTTCCTTATTGAAATCTACCTTGTCATCTTGAGAATTAAAACTGTCATACTAAAAAATATTACAAACATACAAAAACATACAAGTCCACAGTTTCCTGAAAGTGGCAACACAAGTGGTTAAGATGATCATGAAGTTGTATGGCCTGCTTGACTTCATCATACAGGGCATGGAGTATAAAAATTGGAAAGTTATGTTGTAACTGTGTAGAACTTTGGTTGGGCCACATTTGGAATATTGCATGCAGTCTGGTCTCCACACTATGATAAGGGTGTGGAGCTTTGGAGAGGGTACAGAAAAGGTTTACCAGGATTCTGCCTGGTCTGGAGGATATTAGCTATGAGGGGAGATTCGACAAACCCGGTTTATTTTCACTTATAAGCCGGTGGTTGAGGGGTGACCTGATCGAATTCTGTTGACAAAATTGTGAGAGGCATAAGTAGAATGGATAGTCAGAGTCTTTTTTCCTAGAGTAGAATTGTCAACTACTGGGGAACCATAGGATTAAAATAAAAGGGGGAAAGTTAAAAGGATAAGTGAGAGGCAGGTTTTTCATACAGAGGGTAGTGAATGCCCAGAATGCACTCCCAGAAGTGGTAGTAGAAGCAGATACAATAGCAACATTTAAGAGGTATCTGGACAGCGAAATAAAAGGGTAGGACTGTATGGAGACAAAAAGTTTAGTTTATGTATTGGTGCAGGCTTGGTGGGCTGAAGGGCCTGTTCTTGACCTGCACTGTTCTTTATTCTTTGTTGGTCAGGAAAAAGCCCAACCTAGCCCAACTAGCCTGTCACATACAGTCATCATGCCTTATTTTTCACAACACAGAAACTCCTTGCCCACCCACAGAAAGGGGATTTTCTACCCGGGACATGAACAATATAGATTAAAACCCAGACTGATAAGGGGAAAATTGTGAAAACTGTCTGATATTTTTCAGTTTTAATTGAACAGAACAATGGAATTCTGGTCTTATTTAAAGGGGTTTGGAGTATAAGAGTGTCAAAGTCTTTACTGCAGTTGTACAAGGTGCTGGTGAGACCACATCTGGAGTACTGTGAGTAATTTGGCCCTTTATTTAAGGAAAGATATCATTTCACTGAGGACAGTTCAGAGAAGGTTCGCTAGGTTGATCCCTTGTTTGGAGGGATTGTCTTCTGAACAAAGGCTCAACAGGTTAGAAGTCTATTCACTGGAGTTTGGAGAGGGGTCTCATTGAAACATACAGGATTTTTAAGGATCTTGAAAAGGTAAATGCTGAGAGGATGTTTTCCCTCATGGGAGAGTCTAGTTCAAGACTGAGATGAGAAAGAATTCCTTCTCTTCGAGGGTTGTGAGTCTTTGGAACTCTTTGCCATTGAGCACTGTGGGAGGAGAGTTCTTATGTATATTTAAGGCAGAGATAGATGGATTCTTGATTAACAAGGGAATCGAAGATTATGGGGAAAGGGAAGGAAAGTGGATGTGAGGAAGTCTGATCAGCCATTATTCTATTGAATGGCAGAGCAGGCCGAGGAGCCAAACAAGCCTATTCCTGTTCAAAAACAAAATTGCTGGAAAAGCTCAGCAGGTCTGGCAGCATCTGTGGAGGAGAAAACAGAGTTAACGTTTCGAGTCCAGTGACCCTTCCTCAGAACTATTCCAGCCTATTCCTGTTCCTATTTCATACAGTCTACAAGTCTTTTTATTTAAAAATGGAGTATTGATATTGTGTCAAGAACTAATTAGATGGGGTTTGGACTCACAGTCAACAGAATCTATTTTACAGTAAACAACAGAATCTATTTAAACAGTGTCTCTACGTGCTGCAGCAAACACTGTTTTTACTCTACTCGGCAGTCTAGTTAAACAGAGAAGGTTATTTTGACCAAGTAGTGAAACAAACTGGTACTGTGTGAATAAGATTATGCCTGTTTTTAGGTTTGGATTTAGCATTCAATTTTGGTCCTAATGACTGATTAACATAATTTGAATATGTTGAGTACCCTGGTGGGCAGACAGCATTATGATACAGAATGGCTCAGGAACCAAGTGGAAGAGTGTTTTAGTGATCCTCTTTACAGCTGCAGCAGCCGGTGAATGTTAAATATTGACTATCACTTCAAACAGCATTCAAAATTCTCAGCAGTGATTTGTTTATCCCGAACAACTGGTCAGTATTAGGAGAGGACAAAAGGACAAATATCAGCTTTTAGCATGTTTTGCAGCCTCCAAAATAAGCACTTGTTTGCATTTTAAGTGGCAGTTAGTTCTTTGATGTTAGTTCCACATGACTGCTGCTGGTGCACGCTTCAACTCTTATCAAGTTTGTGGCTTGAGCTAAATACGTCAACTTGCCCAATGTAGAGAGTCCTTAGTGTCTGATTGGGATGTTGAAAATGACCTCCAGGGCAAACAAAATGTGAGACCAAAACTGCAGCAGTCTCTCAAAAGTCTCCAACAAAATACAATGATAGTTAAAGATAGTTAGTTGCACAATACAAATTCTGTGCATAAGATCAATACCAAACGCTATAATAGTACAGTCTCTGATGTGATTTAAAAGGGAATTATCCAGTCATTTCCAATCTTGTCTGTAATATTGGTGTGACATTATGCAGTCTTCCTTTTTAACTGTCTTATATTGCTTTATTCACCAATCAGCACCCTTTATGATGCTATATAAATTGATTTTTCCTTTTTAAAGCTGGTTTTCTTGCATGTCAGCCCTGATGAGTAAAGACAATAAGTTTCATCTAATGTCTCTTTTTAGCAACGTATAACTGCCTTAATTTTGTATTACCATGTTGAATGCACCAGCTTAACCTTAATCTAAAATTTATAGTAAAAATGCACTTTATGTTGAGTTGATCTAATCCATTGTGTGTCAAGAGTTAGCTTTGTTAATTTATGTTATTGATGTTCATTTCAGGAATGCTGCTGGTTACCACTGACACACAAGGCCATGACTTTCATGTATTTCGAATCTTGACACATCCATGTTCATCGTCACAGAGTGCCGTGCATCATTTATATACTTTACATCGTGGGGAGACAGAGGCTAAGGTATAGTGTGAATTTAGATATTAGACACAAGATACTGGGTAGGCTGGAAGAAAGTTCTGTTTGAGGAAAATACCTGACATCAGATTTCATACAGAACATGGTTTACAATCTTTTATGTTGGGATTTTACATACAATCCAAATAGTTACAAGCACTCAGAGACAAATGTATGAAAATTGATGAAGAATGTAGTGTTCTTAAGCTGCTACTTTGGAGAATACATTGTGCCTGTTCATTGATGGACAGAAAGAGAATGCTATCTTGGAAGCCAGAAATTGCCTTCGTGCAATTAGTTTGAAAATCTGAAATAGAGATCGATGGCTAGAAAGGTGTGATTGAACAACAAGTATTGTGTAGTCAATACGTGTTTAAATATAGAGAGTGATTGAGCTTACATCAGAAGCTAAAGTTAGAGTCTGAACAGTTTATCAGTTTCTTGTAAACAAAGTTGGCATACTCTTCAGCTTGTGATATTTTATATAATACATTGTTATGGATTAGATCAAACCCTCTTGAAGTGTATCAAGGAGATAGCTTAGACCCTAACTTTTATCTCATTTAAAGACAAGTGTAAGGTGCTGTGTTTCAAATGTAATTTGATTGGCTACGTTATTTGGCTTTAAGCAAAACTCACTTTATTCTTACCCTACAGTTAAAATACAAACAAAAGAAAGGAGAAATGGTATAACTTTCACTCAGGAAAACTTGACAGCAAAATAGATTATTTTACGACTAAACAGCAACTTTTCCAATATAGTAACATCCCATAAACATACCCTTGGCAAATGCAAATTCAGTAAAATAGATTGTCTCACATGCAATGTTTCTCCAGTCCAGGAAGAAAGAACATCGAGAAAATTCTGGCAGAGAGAGAGAACTCAAGCATTTTGCTGTAGCAGTGAGAGATGTATGGCAGCTTCAAAACCCCAACAACTGCTGAGAGCTAAACTAAAACCCCAGTTCTGTGGGAGCCTGACTTCATCCATTCATGCTGCTTCTTTTGTTCCAACTTTTAAAAAGAACCCAAGGCCTCACAAGCTGTTTCTTGGCTTGATGGAGACAACTCGTCACCTATGTCTCAAATCCTCTGTTCTTAAAATTTCAGGCCAAAATACACTTCTTAAAGCAATAGTATCGTCAACAAATGCAGTTTTAATTGCAGTTGTATCCCATTTTCACCAATTAGCCCTTACCCATTTCCAGAAATCTGACATAAGCATAGATTTTGAAACACTGTATCTCCATAATCAACTTTATCAATTTACCCACAACTATGCAAGCACAGTTTTTATTTTCCTTTTTTTTTGCTTTGGTACTGTTAAATTCATGTAAATTCATTGAAATGTAAATGGATTCCACTGTACTGGCAGCTTCCAGGTATTAGAGTGTGGACAGTCCATTTTGTGACTGACCAGCAGTTAGATTCGCATCCTGATCACTTATTCTCTTTGATCATCTTGTACAAATATTAAAGAGGCTAAAATCCATGTTTATCTCTGACCTGAACAAATAATGTATGATAAAGCTAACCAAATGACCGCAGGGACCCAATTTTACCTCTGTAGACGCTTGACTTTGCTTGTTCAAATTATTCATTGATGCTATGAATTGATTTTTGACTCTGAATGAACAACGTGATTTAAAAATATCTACTGGCTGGTTAGCTTTCTTTAGAACCATTAAGTTGTCTATAAAACGAAAGAGTTGCACTTATACAGCTCCTTTCACTACTGCTGGGTAGCCCAAGATGCTTTATATTTGATGAAGTACAGCTGGTCACTGTTGTAGTGTAGTGACTTTGGCATGTTGACTAGACTCATTTACAATAGAAAAACAAATGATAGGAGAAAATAAGAAGAATCTTTGTTCAGCAACTTGCTGCAGGAATGAAATTTCATTCCATACCACCGTGCTTTTAAGTTACGGAGTCAATAGATTTATGTACTAAATTTTGACATTGAGATCAGACAATTGACCAAACACCACAGGCTCTAAAACTGCGAAAGCCCACCGATATCCACATTGCTTCCCTAAATATTCATCAGCCAAGATAGATGACCTAATATAGATTTTCACACTTAACCTTGTTCAGTTGATGCAGAATTGTGATCCTTCAACTTAAGTAGATATTTTATTACGTGGCCAAAAAAGTGGAGTATTACAGAGAAGGTAATGACTTTAATGCGTTCTAGCAGATAGCACCTTGAATGCTACACACAATTTTGGTCACCAAGAAATGAGAGATGGAGGATCAACGTATAATGGCTAAAATCCTGGAGGTAGTGCAGAGAACTGCTCTTCTTAGTGCAGGGTGTCAGGGATCTATGTTATGAGGAAAGAATGGCTTTTTTGGCGTAGAAGGAAGGCATCCAGGAGATGGTCACAAAAAAGTAAGAAGAAAAGAGGTAAAGGTATTGGGAGTAGGTGAAGATGTGGAATAATCAGATTCATATGTACATTTGCATGTAAAGAACTTGCATTTACATTGTGAGTTTCACAGGCAGCATTCATATTCTTGAAATATAGTTACTATTTTAATTTAGGTAAATGTGGCAGACAGTTTGTATTTAGCAAGGCCCCATAGATAGCAATGAGATAACTGATTAGATAACAAGGTAGAAATTTACCTTGGTCAGTGTAACATATGACTTAGGAGCAGAAGTAAGCTACTCAGCCCCTGAGCCTGCTCCACCATTGTGTAAGATTATGGCTGACGTAATTACTCTACATTCCTGCCTGTTCCTGGTATTCTTTCATCACCTTGCTTATCAAGAATCTATCGACCTCTGCCCTAAAAATATTCAAAGACTGCATTTTCGCCCCCTCTTGTGAAAGGGTGTTCCAACAATTCACAACCCACTGTAAGAAAATAAATGCCCTTATCTCTGTTTTAAATGGGTAACCCCTTTTTCATATGTTTACAGTCAGAGGGGAAAGATTTAAAAAGGACTTGAGGGGTAACTTTTTCCACGCAGAGGGTGGTGCTTGTATGGAATGAGCTAACAGAAGAAGTGGTAAAGGCTGATACAACATTTAAAAGGCATCTGGAAGTTTATATGAATAGGAAGGGTTTAGAGGGATATGGGCCAAATGCTCGCAAATGGGACTAGATCACATTGGGATATCTTGTCAGCGTGGACGAATTGGATTGAAGGGTCTGTTTTTGTGTTGTATGACTCTGTGACTTTATGACATTATGACCATTAATTCCAGTTCTTTCTTTCCCAAGTGGAAGCATCCTTTCCACATTGACCTAATCAAAGCTCCTCAGGATTTTGTATGTTTCATAAACTCGCCTCTTACTCTTCTAAATTCCAGTGGATTCAAGCCTAACCTGTCCAACCATTCTTCATATGACAACCTATTCATTACAAGTGTTAGCCTGGTAAACCTTCTCTGTACAGCTTTAAACAAATTTACATCCTTCTGTAAATAAGGTTTTAAATACTGTGCACAGTACATCAGCAGCCTCACCAGCGTGTTGTGTAAGTGAAGCCTATCCTCCCTACTTTGTGTCCAACTCCTCTTGCAATAAATGATAACAGTACTAGCTTCCCTAATTACTTGCCATACCTGCATACTAACATTTTGTGATTCATGCACAAGGACATCCAGGTCGCCTCTGCATCTCAGAGCTTAGCAGTCACTTGTCATTTAGATAATATACTTCTTTATTTATGTTTTCTGCCAAAAAATGGACAGTTTCCCATTTTTCCCACATTGTTTTTTTTTCTCTATTCATTTGTGGAATTATGTACCTGCATCCCTAGGTCCGTCTGCTCTATAGCACTACCCAAGGCCCTACCATTAATTGTATAAGCCCTACCCTTGTTTGTTGTACCAAAATGCAATACCTCGCATTTATCCAGATTGAACACCATCTGCCATTTTGACCCATTTGATCAAGATCCCTTTGTCATCTTAGAAAACCTTCTTCACTGTCGACAATGTCACCACTTCTGGTGTCATCTGCAAACTTACCAACCATGCCTTCTATAATATCATCTAAATCAGTTATATAAATGACAAACAAAAGAGGACTCAGAACCAATCCTTGTGAAACACTACTGGTCACAGACCTCCAGTCCGAAAAGGAACCCTCCACCATAACCCAATTATGTATCCAATTGGCAAACTCACCCTGAATCCCATGTGAGCTAACTTTACTAATTAGTCTACCATGCGGAACCTTGTCAAAAGCTTTATCCAAATAAACAATGTCTACTGCTTTGCCTTCACCAACCTATTTGGTACCTTCCTCAAAAATTCAGTCAAGTTTGTGAGACATGATTTTCCTTGCACAAAACCATGCTGGCTATCCCTGATCAATTTTTGCCTCTCTAAATGTCCATTTACCCACAACGGAAGTCAGACTCACAGGTCTATAATTCCCCTGTTTCTCCTTAAAACATTTCTTAAACAAAGGTACAACATTAGCCACCCTCCAGTCATCAGACAATCCCACCCATAGTTATAGATGATGCAAATATTTCTGCAAGGGGTCTCATAATTTCCTCGCTTACTTCCCACAACATTCTGGGACATGTTAGATCAGGTCCCAGAGGTTTATAAATCTTCATATTCTCTAAGACCTTCTGAACTTCCTCTTCTGTAATGTGAATTTTTTTAAAGCGTCAAAGTTTATTTCTGTGCATTCTCTAGACTCAATTTCTTTCTCCACAGTTAAAGAGATCATTTACATGAATTGTAAATAGTTGAGGTCCCAGCACTGATCCCTGTGGCACATCACTTATTACATCTTTGCCAACCTGAAAAAGGTCCATGTATGCTTACCCACTGTTCCTGTTAGCTGGCCAATCTTCTATCCATGTCTTTACTTCCTATATCATGAGTTTTTTTTTAATTTTCTGCAATAACCTTTGATGTGGCACTTTATTAAATTTCTTTTGGAAATCTAACTACACTACATCCACTGGTTCCCTTACTCCACAGCATGTGTTTCCTCCTCAGAGTGGATTGGTCAAGGAAGATTTCTCTTTC